GGGGTTTGGACTTGATGGCCTTATAGGCCCCTTCCAAATAATTTATTTTATGGATTCTATGAGTGTGTTGTTTTCCAACCTTCTCTCCCAGCAGGCTCAAGATACCCAGCTGTTCTTGGTAGGGGTTGGTTTCCTGAATTTTTACCATGCTGCTCACCCTGTTCTGGACACATGCCAGCTTTGCGCTATCCTTCCTAAACGGAAGTGCCAAAAACTAGGCACAACATTCTAGGTGAGATCTGACCAAGGCAGAGTAGAGTAGCACTGTGATTTACCCTGATCTAGACATGAAACCTCTCCTCCACGTCCATCCTAGTATTGTATTTGCTTCTTTTGCTGCTGCGTCACATTGTTGACCCATGTTTAGCACAGTAGTCTACCGTGACCTCTGGACTGTATTCACACGTACTACTGCCAAATGAGGTGTTACCCATTCTGTATTTGCACATCTGATTTATCCTGTCTAAATATACTTGACTTCTCCCAAACACACCCACACACCCCGACTGAAACTTGTTTTATTTGTTTTGGCCCAGGTCTCTAATCTGTTTAGGGACATGGTGGTGCTGCGGGCTAAACCGCAGAAGCCTGTGCTGCAGGCTCAGAAGACCAAGCAGTCGTAAGATCGAATCCACGTGACGGAGTGAGCTCCCGTCGCTTGTCCCAGCTCCCGCCAACCTAGCGGTTCGAAAGCATGCAAATGCGAGTAGATAAATAGGGACCACCTCGGTGGGAAGGTAACAAGCGTTCTGTGTCTAAGTCGCACTGGCCATGTGACCACGGAAGATTGTCTTCGGACAAAACGCTGGCTCTATGGCTTGGAAACGGGGATGAGCATTGCCCCCTAGAGTCGAACACGACTGGACAAAAATTGTCAAGGGGAACCTTTACCTTTACCTTACTCTCATCTGTTTAGGTCATTTTGAATACCAATTCTTCCTTCTGAAATATGAGCCACTCTTCCCATTTTGGTGTCATCTGTAAATTTGGTGAGTATCCCCTCCCACACCTTCATCTAACTCAGTGGTTCTTAACCTTTGTTACTCAGATGTTTTTGAACTGCAACTCCCAGAAGCCCCAGCCAGCACAGCTGGTGGTGAAGGCTTCTGGGAGTTGCAGTCCAAAAACACCTGAGTAACCCAAGGTTAAGAACCAGTGAATTCTAACTCATTTATCTGGCTACAGGGCCAGAGGGTCCCTTTCAGTTCTGCTGTTCTAAGATTTTTAGCTGGCCGGATAGCTCAGGGGTTGAGGCCTCTGGCTGCAGGGCCAGAGGTTGAGAGTTCGATTCCCCACATTGGGCCTCCTGGACAGGGGCTGGACTGGATGATCCACAGGGTCCCTTCCTGCAGTCTGATTATGACGACTGAAGATGTTGAGCAGCGATGGACCCAGGACAGAACCCTCAGCCATGACATGTGTCCCTCTTCCTCCAGGATGATGGGGAACTCTTAGGGAGTGCTCTTTGCGTCCAGCCTGTCTGCCAGCTGCACATTGTCTCCCCTTGCATTTTATCCTAGCCTTCATCCATGACTCATCCTGAGATGCCCACCCTCCACTCACATCCCTCTCTCTTGCGGTGCTACAGAAGGGCTGAGAGGGGCATCGTGAAACTAAGAGCAGGATGACGACCCGCTCAGTCCAGGGGCTGGGCATGTTTTCACCTTGGAACTTTGCTTCCCAAGGAATTTTGCAATTAATAGCTCTGCGTATCACTTAGGAGTGGCAGAAATTCCAGGCCTTTGGTTGCAACCTCAGTGTGGTGAGTATACCCACGTGAGCGCTGGCACAGAATCCTCCTGCAGATTCTCCAAAGATAGTCACTGAATGGGGTTCGCCTCCAAAAAGCTCAATGTTTTCCTGAACCCACTGAAGTGCTGCTGTTTGATCCAGTAGCCCCCAGTTTCCACGGGCATCTTTGGAACCAGTGCTGAAAGAAGCACAGCAAAATCAAGCAGGAGAAGAACAGCGACGACACTGGTGCAAGGAGGCGTTTTTCTCCACAGGTGCTCCTAGCTAAGACACAAAACTGGCAAGCCCAGCATGCAAGATTCTCAGCCTCCCCCCCACACACACCCCATTTCCATAGTAGCACTCTGTGAAGATTTTGCACCTCGCCCACCTTCCATGCTCAAGCCCCATTCCACTGGGTCTCTCTGCCTGCCTTTCCTGCTGAGCCCTCATCAGCCCCTCCATGGGTCGGTCCGTCCTCCCTCCCTCCTTCAGGCAGCTGGAGCATTTAGATTCTTTACTTTCCATGCTGCTTTTGACCTTCTTCTTCCCCCACTCAGAAAGACCCTGTGCTTTCTCTCTTTCACAACTTGATGTATTATTTAGATTTATACACACCACTGCTGTCAAATGTTTCAGCATAGTTTACAATACAATGTTTTAAAAAGCCATAGAATAGCAAATGCTTTAGCTAAAAAGAAAATGGCAAGGCCAGAGTGTTACTCTTGAAAGGACCCCCTTCTTCTTCCTGACAGCCCCTCCCTGCATCTTAAGTGGTGGGAATCTTCACCCGAACAGCCACCTGGGCTAACTCTCGAATGGTGACAAATTCACTCTGAGCAGTGAAGCCTTCTCCGGCATTGCAGAGGTTTGGTGCCTGAGGGGCGTCGGGTGGAGGAACCCAACCTCTCCCCGCAAGGCCAGGGAATGGACAGCCTGGCAAGGCAAAGCTTCGGTCAAGAGGAAAAGTTGAAAGCAGGGTGGGGTGGGGGTGGAGAGATCATAGAGACTGTGCACAGATGGGCCCGGGCTGTGGGTGTTAGAGTCAAGATAAAGTTGCTCACCTGAAGAATCCAGGGAGACCCAGCCTGTACTGGATCATGACCACCACCACGTGCTCATAAGCAGACAAAGCTGATCCATCCAACATGGAAGCTGCCCCCAGTACCAGAGCGCCTCCATGGATCCAGACCATGACCTGGAAAAACACAGAAGAAAAGCAAACGGCTAACAGCACTGAGCTGGCTGCTGTCGGCCCCTGCCTAGAATTGGTGACATACTTGTACGCTCTTAGAAACTTTATCCATCATGGAAGAGGATTTGTTTTTTCAAACAGTCAATATTTAGCAATACACATTGTATTTATAGTTTTGACCCAACTCCGGGAGGCAGTGGGAGACAGGAAGGCCTGGTGTGCTCTGGTCCATGGGGTCACGAAGAGTTGGACACGACTAAACGACTAAACAACAACAAATGTATAATTAACAGTGCTTAATTGCTTGATTAGGCTACTCAACCAAAAATAAAAAGTTATTTCTCTTTAATGAGACAACATGTTGTAAAGTCTCATGATTTCGAGAAAGGTAAGCAGAGCTGGGGACAGGGAGTACCGTCTGAAAGCAGCCACCAGCACTGACGGCCATTCGCATGGGGGGAGGGGGGGCTGGGAGTGGGGGGGCTGTCCTTCCTCGGCCACGTCTGCCACGAACACTGCAAATCCTGTTTCTGATTTCAGAAGCCAGTTTGGCCCTAGGGAGCCCCTTTCAGCAGTGAGAGGTTCTCGATCCAGGCTGGTGCTGGGCTATCTGCTCTGCCAACCAGCTACACAACAACAGCCCTTGTACCAAAGAGGCATTTGTTTCTCTCTTCTCTCTGCGGACATTAGGGCAGGACTCTGGAAGCCGTGTGAAAACCAAATGATCTGAGCTTTCCCCTTCTCCAGGCAGGACCTGCTCACTTCACGCACCAGTGATGGCTTATGAAAGCTCTTTCCAGCCAGCCTCTACTTCAGCAGTGTGTACACATCAGTGGCCAGTGTGCGGATTTCATTCCATCCGCAAGGGCTGGCTCTGCAGCAACCAGGGTGCGGAATCTGTGGACAAGTTGCCCTCCCCACCTCCCAACCCAGCCCGTAAGATGGAGTTCACTGGTGACTTCTCCTCTGATCTGACCAGCCTATGCTTGGTTTCTGTTGTCAGGAAAAAAAACACCCAGTAGTTTCAGTACTAGGGCCAGTTGTCTATCAACAGGAATAGGCTGTTAGGCATCCTTCAGTCTCGAGAGATGATGGTAACGTGCTCTGTATGGAGGGCTTGGAGCAGCGTCTAGTCTGGCTGAGGAGGCCGATTCGAGTGTGACAGTCCCCTTCACACTGAAGACAAACACAATCTGTCCCCTGTACAGCTCCCTGATTTTGCTGCTTTCAGGACTCCCTCTCAGCCTTGGCCTGCTGGATGAGGGTCTCTTCAAATGGGCTGAATGCTCAGAGATCAAGGTTTCCCATCTGTGGAGGTCCATTCCTAAGGCCTTCGGATCCCGCTTGCAGATGTCCTTGTATCGCAGCTGTGGTCTCCCTCTGGGTCAATTTCCCTGCACTAATTTTTCCATACAGGAGATCTTTTGGAATCCAACCATCAGCCATTCTCACGACGTGCCCAAGCCAACGTAGACGTCGCTGTTTCAGTAATGCATATATGCTAAACATTCCAGCTCGTTCTAGGACTACTCTGTTTGCAACTTTGTCCTGCCAGGTGATACCAAAATGCATCTGAGACAACACATATGGAAGGTGTTCAGCTTCCTCTCCTGCTGAGCACAAAGGGTCCAGGACTCACTGTAGTACAGGAGTGTGCTCAGGACACAGTTTCTATAGACCTGGATCTTGGTATGTGTCGTCAGCTTCTTATTGAGCCATACTCTCTTTGTGAGTCTAAAGAACATGGTAGCTGCTAACAGGAATAGGCATTAGAAGGGAAAATTGCTGTCATTAGCAGAAAATGCTCTGTATCTGCATTAACATTCCCATACCTGTGGACTGCATCTCTTCTAAATACCAGTGATTGCTTGTCGTAATAAAGTGCATTAAACTGAGCTTTGCAGTCAAATAAATATGGCTCACAACACTGCTGCCAGACTCCCATCAGCAACTGGGCCACGGTGGCTTTCTCTTTCCTTCCTGAGGATGGCTCTCAGTTGTCCATGGTTTCATTGTCCAGTTATAGAAGAATGCACCACAAACACTTCTAGTTGCTGTGGCATCAGAAAGACCCAGTTTCAGGTCTGCCTTGCGTCACCAAGTTTTAACATTTGCAACCTTAACGTTTTCGAAAAACAATCTGGCTGTTTTTGGAACAGGTAAATATGATGTGAAAACTGGAGAGGATTTTTGCTTACGGGTAATTTGGCCTTCAGATCTGGGGTGAAAACATTCAGGTAGAGGCAATCTTCAGAGACCGGAAGGTTGAAAAAATCTCCCTTCATCATCTTCCTAAAAGTATCTGTCCATCCTAAATCTTGCAGGCACCTTTAAAATGGAAAACAAAGGCCAAGTCAGAGAGAGAGAGATTGATAGAGAAGGGAAAATATGAGTTAATTCACAGGGTTTCTATACGTTGGAAGCAATATGACAGAACATCATCCAGAAAAAAATGGGATGGAGAGAATAAAGTGAAGCTCTGTCCCTTCTTGCTCTGCCTCAGGGGACCCATGAGAGAGGGATTCTGTTAGACAAGGCGTAGATCTAACGGCGAGAATTCTCAGCACTCCTGACAGCCCACAATGGATCCTGGGAGGAGACGGGCGTTCCATCAGCCTGCACTTCCATTAGAGCACAGGATCGTGACTTGCTTGAGCCGGAGGCAACTGGAGACCCCACTTTTTTTTGACAGTGGGAGCGGTGGTGGTTGTCGTGGTGGTGACTCCGAACCCACCGTAGGTTCCAGCTCGCCCTTTGCCTGAGTTATTATTTGAGATGCTGATGGTAGTTTGTGGGTGGGATTCAGCACCTTGGAGAGCATCTGGTTAAAACAGGAGTGGACCCCCACCCAGCACTTACGAAACGACTAAGCCCCCCCCAGCCACCACCGGCTGCTTGGGCCTCCTTAGTCTCTGCTCAGACGTCACCTCTGGTGGAGTTTGGTGCCACTCCCCCCCCCTCTGGCAAGCACCAAGCATGGGGGCTGTCTTAGTGACCTCCCATCCCAGACCTGATCTACGTTCAAAGACGCCAAGGAGGCTCAGCTGGAAAAAGGGGGACTTCATTGCCTTAGAGGGGAGCTGCCCCTCCAAGCCTGACCAGTTTTCCAACTCTGAGCATATTGGCTCAACAGCCAACACAGCCTCCAAACGCTCTCCTTTCCATAAACAACAGACTGAGAGGAAAGGGGGGGGGGAGGAGGCCTTTCCCGGAGGGCCCCCCCAACAGTCGTGCTTGTGGTGAGAAGCTACTTGTGTAGGGAATCCTGCTCTCTTTCTTCCTGTCTAAATTCAAGGAATTTGTCCTTAGGTGTAAGTACATACAGGACGTTGGGGGTGGGGACTTAGGGTTTGCTCTGAAGTTTTCCAGACCAGGTCCCTGCTGGCTTCTGCCTATGACACCTGATTGAGAACAGATCCTTTCCTTCCTCTGTAAGACAAGCTTTCAAGCATTTCAAGAATGCTGTCCTATCTCCCCCTGGTCTTCTTTTCTCAACGTTAAATGTGTCCAGATCTTCCAGTCATTCCTCATGATGGGAAAACCAATCCCCATCATCAACAACAATCCCCATCACCCTTTTTTGGCAGGCGGCAATCCTATGGGGCGGCAATCCATGGAATCTGTTTTGTATGGGAGCAGTCCAACACTCCTGGGAGATTGCAGGCTGCAGTGAGTGGGGTGGGCAAATTTATTTATTTATTTATTTATTTATTTATTTATTTATTTATTTATTTATTTATTTATTTATGCCCCGCCTATCTGGTCGTTTTGACCATTCTAGGCAGCTTACAACATAAAAATAACAAATATAAAAAAGAGATTATAAAAGAGATTATAATATAATTAAATAATTCTGCAAGATGGGAAGCATTCAAATAAATCAAATAAGGAGGGAAGAGGGTCAGGGATTAACTGGAAGGGAAGGCCTGCCTATACATCCACGTTTTAATTGATTTTTAAAGGTACCCAGCGAGGGTGCTGTGCGAATCTCCGGAGGCAGATTGTTCCAGAGGCGAGGAGCCACTGCTGAGACGGCTCGGTTCCTTGTCTTCTCCGTCCGGGCCTCCCTCGGCATCAGGCTCCTCAGCCTCACCTCCTGGCTCACGGGGATGACACGGGTAGAGCTAGGTGGGAGTAAGCGTTCCGCCAAGTATCAAAGCCCTAAACCGTTTAGGGCTTTATACGTAAACATCAAAACTTTAAAGTTGACGCAGAACCGAATGGGCAACCAATGCACTGCAGCCAAGATAGGAGAAATATGATGGAAACCTGCCCTCAAGGAAAGATCCATTAATTATCACTGTGGCCCGTTCTGTTATTGTAGGCCTGGCTGCTTTCATTAGCCAGGCCAAAAGCAGTGGAAATATATTTTCACTGCTTTTGACCCCATCAGGTAGCATCCGAAAGCATACTGCCCTTAAACATGGAAGCTCCATGTCATTGCCAGGGCTGGAAGGAGGGCTTCCTTCCTTCTCTGGGTGGCGCTGAGGGGGCTGCAGACAAAGGATGATGGGGACATTCTGCTCTCTGTGGAGACAGCTTGGCACAACCCTCGGCATTGGTGAAGGTGGCAGTTTTAGAGCCAATTATCACTGTTTATGTTTCCTTTTTCCTAATTGGGCAGGAATGTTTTCACTAACAGACACATAAGACCTTGCCCTAATTTTCCCATCGTCATGAGCCAGAAATGGGCACTTTCACATCTTTAGGATCCACCTGTGTTTGAGTTGGATCTAAATGCCATTTTGCTGTGATTTGCAGCTAAAGCACCGGTCACGTCAATGGCAGTTCTACCAGTCAGCCTGACATCAAGCCCAGGAAAACTCTGGAACAGATTATAAAGAGTTCACTAGACAAGCACTCAGAAATAACTAGAAGCCAACACTGACTGGTCAAGAACAAATCCTGCCAACTAATCTGATCTCATTTTTGATCAGGTCACCTCCCTGACAGACAGAGGGAATGCTACAGACATTGTATATCTTGACTTCAGCAGAGCTTTTGGCAAAGTGCCCCATGATCTCCTGATTAGCAAAGTAACTAGGTGTGAGCTGGATAGAACAACTGTCAAGTGGGTACACAGGTGGCTATACAATCGTACTCAGAGGGTGATGACTAACGATTCCTTCTCAAACTGGGAGGAGGTAACAAGTGGGGTATCGCAAAGCTCAGTCCTGGGCCCAGCGCTATTCAAATCCTATTTAATTAATGACCTAGATCAGGGGATACAGGGCTAGCTAATCAAATTTGTGGATGACTAGCTAACACCCTGGAAGACAGAGACAAAATTCAAAATGGTCTAGATATGCTTGAGTACTGCGCTGAAAACAACAGAATGAAATTTAACAGGGATACGTGCAAAGTCCTGCATCTAGGAAAAAGAAACAAAACACACAGTTACAAGGTGGGGGATACCTGGCTCAGCAATATTACAAACGTCCACCAAGTTGGAATCTTCATAGGTGACAAGCTAAATATGAGCCAACTGTGTGATGTGGCTACAAAAAAGGCAAATGCTATTTTAGGCTGCATTGATAGAAGTCTGGTTTCCAAGTCCCGCTGGTTAGGCCTCACCTTGAGTCTTGTGTCCAGTTCTGGACACCAAGAAGGATGCTGACACATGGGAACAAGTTCAGAGGAGGGCAACAAGGATGATGATCAGGGGGCTGGAAACCAAGCCTTATAAAGAAAGACTGAAAGAATAGGGCATATTTAGCCTTGAGAAAAGAAAAGTGAAGGGAGATAGGCTAGGCCAGCAATGGTGAACCTATGGCACGCGTGCCAGAGATGATGCCATGCAGAGCCCTCTCTGTGGGCACATGAGCCATAAGTCGCTGGATCGCTATCCCCCCGGCAGCCGAACCTTGGAAACTGTCTAGGGGCTGTTTGAATGGAGAAATACTTACCCATCCTCCAATTCCGGATTTTGGCACTCCCCTCTGCTGGTGCGGTGGTCCAGCGGAGGGGTGCGATGACGGCCATTACCAGTCTAGTCTGATGGGGGATTGGGCAACCAATAAGTATTTCTCCGTTAATACTGCCCAAAGGAGAAAAAACACAAGCATTTAACCCTTGCAGTGCAGGGGCAGCCCCACTGCAAGAGTTTTAAAAAATGGTTAGCCCAGAGCTCAGCTTTAAAGTTTTGTGGGGGTGACGCCATTAGTTTCTGCACCCCTGGGTGGCACCAGGTGACGCCAATGGTAGCGATGCCTCTGCCTGCAACACCACCAAGTTGATTTTGTGTTGCAGTTTGGGATCAAAAAGGTTCATTATCACTGGGCTAGACTGTTGTACAGAGGAGGGGCAGGATCTGTTCTCTATCATTCCTGAATTCAGGACAGGCAACAAAGGGCTCAAGTTACAGGAAGCCATTTTTCAGTGGAATATCAGGAAAGACGTCCTAACTGTTAGAGCAGTACGGCAGTGGAACCGATGACCTTGGAGGCCTTCAAGGGAAATCTAGACAACCGCCTTGCAGATATCCTTTGATTTGTATTTCTGTACCGAGCAGCGGGTTGGACTCTGTGCTCTGAGAGGCCCCTCCCGACTGCATGCATCATGATTCTAGCAGGGAAAGGACTTGCTTACATGGGAGGGTTCGAGGTGGCCTCTCTCACGTGGCTCCAGGGTTCCGGCGGTTGTGGCGGTGAGAACCTGAGGGCTCCGACGGGAGGTCTGGCAAAAGGGATCCCCAGAAAGACGTTCACAGGCTGGCTTGTGCCCTCCACACTGGCCAGCTTCCCACGGAGGCGTCCATATTTTGTAGCCACTTCCGGACGGTAATTTCCCTGACCTAGGAAAGAGGCACACGAGGGCAGGAGTGCAAGGCCTGGCAAACAACAGGGAGCTTTTAACCAGGGTCCTCCTTCTGTCCCATTTTCTGCTGTGAATGGGGAGGGGAAGGGAGGGGGACTCCTGGCTCACCCTCGTCTGGTTCCCTGACCCGACTCTTCCCTCCGGATCCTGGTCTCTCCCCCCCTCCCTCAGAACGTCCCAGCCCTGCCACCCCGTTTCCCCCCCAGCCCTGACATGGCCTGTA